TATTTAAAAATTTTAAAATAAAGCAAGACACAAAAGTGTTAATATATACTATATGATGTAATTTATTTAAGGTCCAGAAATTGATCTATGATGTTAGATGTCAGGACAGCAGTTGCCCTTGGGAGAGAGGAGTAACTGGAAAGAAGCAGGAAGAGGCTTCCGGGGTGCTGGTGATACTCTGTTTCTTGGCCTGGATGCTATGACGTGGATGTGTACAGTTGGTGGAATTCTTTGAGCTGTATACGCTTATGATTTGTACATTTTTCTGTATGAATGTTACAGTTCAAAAAAGACTCCAAAATTGTCAGTCGTGGACCCCAGAGCAGACCTGCAGAATCATGACCTCTGGGCGTGGGAACTGGGGACCTTGCATTATAAAAATCCCACTTTCAAGTATTTCTTCAGAACATTGCATTTTGAGAACCTTTGCAAAAGGAAGGGGATTAGGTAAATATTCTTCTGATGCCCAAGAATTCTAAAGAAATTCAAGATTTCCTTGAGTCACTTACCTTCTTCTCCCGTTAGGAAAATGCATGTCATTTTTCCAATGCTGAGACAGAAAACTAAGAAATAGAAGACATATAAAAATGTATAGTTTTATATTTAAAAATATTATACTGATGTGTCATATATACTCTAATCTATGAATATCTAGAAGAGTAGAAAACCGTTTTATTGAGGCCCTCTAAAATACGGCAGGTGCTAGGACCTAATGGAATTCAGGCAACTTGAGTAGGAGGTGAAACATCACATCATGGGGTGTGGTACAGTGTAAGCAGGTACAGAAAAGCCAGTTCTTCCACATGTAAGCTGCTTGGACTCCATTTCATCTCTCATCCTTCCATCTCCAAGATTTCGGCAGCTTTTGCACTTGCTTGTTAAACTGAAATCATGTTTCTTGCAAAGGCTATATTGGAAGGGGCAGATCGAGGTCTTGGAGAAGCTCTTGGAGGCCTTCTTGGAGGAGGCGGTCAGAGAAGAGGAGGCGGAGGCGGAGGAAATATTGGAGGGATAGTTGGAGGAATTGTGAACTTTATCAGTGAGGCTGCAGCAGCTCAGTATACTCCAGAACCACCTCCCACCCAGCAGCATTTCACCTACGTGGAGGCCTCAGAGAGTGAGGAAGTCAGGCGGTTTCGGCAACAATTTGCACAGCTGGCTGGACCAGACATGGAGGTGGGTGCCACCGACCTGATGCATATTCTCAACAAAGTCCTTTCTAAGCACAAGGATCTGAAGACCGACGGCTTTAGCCTTGACACCTGCCGGAGCATTGTGTCTGTCATGGACAGCGACACAACCGGGAAGCTGGGCTTTGAAGAATTTAAGTACCTGTGGAACAACATCAAGAAATGGCAGTGTGTTTATAAGCAGTATGACAGGGACCATTCCGGGACTCTGGGAAGTTCGCAGCTGCAGGGAGCTCTGCAGGCAGCAGGCTTCCAGCTAAACGACCACCTTTACCAGATGATCGTGCGCCGCTATGCTGATGAGGACGGAGGTATGGATTTTAACAACTTCATCAGCTGCCTGGTCCGCTTGGATGCTATGTTTCGTGCCTTCAAGTCTCTGGACAGAGATGCAGACGGCCTGATTCAGGTGTCTATCAAAGAGTGGCTGCAGCTGACCATGTATTCCTGAAGCGGGCACTGAGAGCACAAGACCCTCCCTGGAGAACAGGACTTCGGAAAGCCGTGCCATGCTGTCCGCACGGTTGCTGCTACCCTGTCCAACGGCTGTCATTTCCCGGCAAGCTCACTCCCAACCCTACATGTTTTTGATCGTGTGCTACATTTTGCTGCTTAATTAAAGCACATTTTTCATGAAAAATGTTTCGAGTGGTTTGTATTATGTATCAGTTTTTAGAGATACTGGATTTCTATAGGCATATAAACATATATCTTTGATAGAGGGTGTAGGTCAGAGTTCTAATGGAGTAGATTTTAAAAGTTTGTTGCCTATTTGGTGAATGAATTCCAAGGAGTAGAAACTTTATCATTGTTTTTATTGTTAAGAATTAAATTTTTTTTAAATCCTGTAATAAATCAAGAAAACACTCCAGAGATATTTTTTTCCCTTTAAAAAAGGTAAGGAGGGAAGTTCAAAATCGATTTTCCTCGTAATTTTACATCTGGTCTTTTCATAAAAAGCAAAAAGTGCTTTCCAGCAAACCTATTTAACCATATAGAAACAGGTTCAGAAAGTGAAATCAAACAATTTCATATAAGGGTAACATTTTTTTAAATCATGCAACAATTATCTAAAATTCTAGATTTCTTTAGTTCTGTTTCTCTAGTAAAATAAGCATATTTATAGCAATTTTGTTTTGTTTTGATATAATTTGTAAAGAGAGTCAAAGGCATTGGGGCATAAAAGAGTATACCCACAGTTCAAAAATGTCTCTAGCTGCCTTAATGAATCAAAATGATCACTCTTACACGTACTTCATACAAAATCAGGCATGCCCCGCTGATGTTAGCCAGCTCTTGTCACGTCTTGCCCTGCCTTAGAGCAAGGAAAATTCTCTTGTTCATCTTTGGAAACTGCAGGCAGGAAACAAGCTCACAAAGAAGAAAAAAAAAAAAAAGCACATACATAGTAATCAGTAAAATGGAATATAAAGCAATATAGAGAACAAATATTGCTGACTCTTGCAGTGGTTCTCAGCCCTGGCTGCAATTTAGAATCATGGGGAGAGCTCTTTAGGGATGCTAATGCTTGAATCCCACTCCAAATATGTTAAGTAAGACTCTTTAGAAGTGGGGCCTGAGGATGAATATTCTTAAAGCTCCCCAGGTGATTCTAATGAGCGGCTGAGGTTGACAGCCTTGACTGCTTTAAAGCAGGGCTGTCTTACAGTATTTTTCAAATCTGTCTCAGCCAAAACTGAGGCCCAGCGGGAGAGTCAGTGTTGTGAACATCCAGGTAGAGGGAAGACAGGAATACCAAGAAACTGCGTCCAAAAGCTGGGCTAGTTGTGCCTTTCTTGTGTTTGACTTTATGATTTTCGTTTGACTTTGTAATTTTGACTTCTCGGTTTGACTTTATAATTTTGATACGGGCTATTAGAGCAGAACAAGCAAAATCCAGAATCTTGGTGGAAGTCGACTCAGCTAGAGAGGCTGCATTTGTAGGTGCTCCGTTCCCCTGCCTGCCATTTAATTGGTCACTACCCCTTCTGCTCCTCTGGTTTTTGATTAATGCCTTCTCTATCCCAGGCTACTTTGGAGGGTCCTCCTGAGTTCGAAGATAAATTCTTCCTTCCTTTTTCGACTCACTTAGAAGAAAATTGTAGCTATGGAAATGATGTAACCAGCCTCTTAACAGCCCCCAGCTGCCTGTTGGAAATCCCCAGTGAAATGTGGAGAGGTTGGCATTTGGCCTCTGTGTTCACCATCATCGCCATCATACAATATTTATGAAACACCACCCACGTATAGTTCTGAACTGAGCCAAGCACAGAGATCCCATCCCCTTTCCTCAAGGGACTTGTAATTTAACCTGGTCTGGTATGCTACTTAGACCAGGTGTGGTTATGTAAGAACGAGGCTGCTGCCAGCAACCACACATGAGTATTAGTCTCCCTGTTTTAGATTAAGCCCAGGAATATGTTAGGCATGGATATGGGAGAGTAGCCAAGAAGGGGGAAAGCTGCCAGACATCTTTCAAGGCCTCAGAATATTAGGTTTATAATTTAACCTTTCCACAGGGTGGTTGTGGAAAGGGCAGTGAAGCAACATTTTGGTTCCTCACTTCATTGTAAATGTTTTATAAAAGTTAAGACAGTCATCTCGCAGGAGGGGTGATACAATTTCCCTTGCTCCGCAAGTTGAGGAATTACCTGCTTTTATGATTCACTTCCAGCATGTGCATGGAAAACCATCCTGAAGCTACCTAAGATTTCCTTCTATTCTCTTCAGAATTTGTGCAAAATTTGTATAAATAACCTCAGTTGTCAGGGTGGGTACTAGAAAATTCAATCCAAACTCTGGAATTTTCCAAGTAACCAAATATTTGGCGTTGTGTAGAACCGATAGCCTAATAAGGGATTGAATTTCTTAGTTTTCATCCAATATTTATTTTTGGTTTTGTTGTTGTTGTTTAGGTTTTTTGTTTGTTTGTTTGAAATAGGGTCTCACTCTGTTGCCCAGGCTAGAGTGCAATGGCATCATTGAAGCTCACTGCAACCTCAAACTCCTGGGCTCAAGTGATCCTTCTGCCTCAGCCTCCTGAGTAGCTGGGACTACAAGTGCACACTACCACATCCACCTAATTTTTCTGTTTTTTGTAGAAATGGGGTCTTGCCATGTCGCTCAGGCTTATCTTGAACGCCTGGCCTCAAGCAGTCCTCCTGCCTCAGCCTCCCAAAATGCTAGGATTATGGACATGAGCTACCATGCTCAGCTATAATCCACTAAATTCTCTAAACTGTAAAAAAGGAAAAATAACTGTGTGAAAAAAAGAAATAAATAACTGTGTGCTCTGTACCTAAAAATAGCAAAACTGCCAAAAACATTCCAAATTTGTATGTCATCTTAAAGATCACTTATTAAATATTTTTGATTAGTAGCGTATGTGTTTTTAAAAGCTGATTTATCAACCTCAGTCAGAAATCTTAGTAGTAGTATCCCAGAATTACTCATTGTGGGGACTTAAATATTTATGCAGGCACCTTTAGGGTACTGATGTTTGATGTGCTTATTGATCTTGAAGAACCTTCAGAATTACTGTTTAAAAATGTTTAAGTGTAGTAAAACAATTTATGCAACCTCATGAGAGAACTTGAAATAATAAATAAAATGAAACAATCGAATTCTAGAAAATTGTTACAATTACATATGTGAGTAGAAATTTGCTCTTAATGAGAATATTCAGGTAAACAGAACATCTCTTCCCAGATGCTTCTGGGTAACTGAGAATTTACTGCATTTTAATAATTATATTCCTTTGGATTTATAGATTATCTTTAAAGACTTAAAGACTTTCTTTTTGTTGGTTGCTGCCACATAAAATCTGAGGTCATTGATTGAGGTGATCTCTGCTCATCTGCAGAGATGATATTATTGTATCGATTATAACATAACAAAATAGTCCCTGTATTTGGGAGTTTACTATTGCAAAATGTATTCAAAACTATTTTCTTTTTTTTTTTTTTTTTTTGAGACAAAGTCTCACTATGTTGCCCGGGCTAGAGTGAGTGCCATGGCGTCAGCCTAGCTCACAGCAACCTCACACTCCTGGGCTCAAGCGATCCTCCTGCCTCAGCCTCCCGAGTAGCTGGGACTACAGGCATGCGCCACCATGCTCGGCTAATTTTTTCTATATATTTTTAGTTGGCCAATTAATTTCTTTCTAATTTTAGTAGAGACGGGGTCTCGCTCTTGCTCAGGCTGATTTCGAACTCCTGAGCTCAAACAATCCGCCCGCCTCGGCCTCCCGGAGAGCTAGGATTACAGGCGTGAGCCACCGCGCCCGGCCAAAACTATCTTCTTAAATTTTGGTAGACTTAAAAAGTTGTAAAGAGTATCTGATTCCATATGAATAAAAATGTTGAATAAATTCAACTGTGAAACAGCCCAGTGGAACTGATACCTGAGAATCAGATACATGAGAATCATCATTTATTTTTTCTGGAATTTTAAATGGGCAATATATAAACAAGTAGCGTAGAACTTCCCACTGGTCCTGGAAGCCAGTATATTGTGACTGAGCAGATGAAAGGTTCTGGGGGCCAGGAGCTCACAGTGACCCCCCCACACACACTTCCATGCTGTTCTGATCCTGCTGAGCTCCAGGACAGGGATGAGGCCCGCTGTCTGGAGTTTTGGCAAACTTTAGTCATCCTTTCTTTACGCAGTGACTAAATGCAGCTTCTTAGTTCCAACTCCGGGCTACTCTGGACTCCAGATTAGGACAGTTTATGGAGGGATTATGACCTCACTTCGAAGAGCTGTTCTCCTTTGAAATGTGGCACTGAAATATTTTGAAGTCTAGATTTTTTTATTAAGTTCATAATTCTTCCTGGGGACCCTAGTAGATTTTTAAAGGAAAGAACCACAGATTTGGTGGAATAATTTTTATAATGAAACTGATTCAAAATTTAAAAATTTAAGGAGCATATTTTGCTGTATAATTTTTATCTGTTTTTAAATATATTTTATCAAGCTATTTGCTTTAATTTGAATGATTAGTAGTCATATTACCTAAATTTTAATCACAGCTATGGCAATAGTGAGTTTTGTGACCTCAAGTGAAGCTTACATCTCAATATTTTCATTAGTAAAAATGAAGGAGTTGAATAGACGACTTATTTCTTCCAGTTTTAAATTTTATTACTCTGGATTTGGAACCTTAACAATGTATTGTTTTATTAATTCAATAATGTAATCTCCGAGAATAATTTCCATGCTGCTTTTTTTCCCTTTCGCATTACTGGGATGAAAACTTCCATATACTTTCTCATGTGACTGGTCATCAGAGGTCTGCTTCAACATTTTTTTGTCATTCAAAACCACTCCTAAATAAGACTGTTTATGAAAATTAGGGGTCCAGAATGTTACCTTGTTCTATGACTGGTGATAATATTAAGGGTCCATTACATTTCCATTTCTCCGCCTGCAAAATGAGTTATGATGCCTGGCCTGTGTTATATGTCTGGTTTGGTAGTCTAGGTAAAAATTGCATGTCTCACAGTAAAGATACAACATAAATTCAAAGGAGTATTTCTAATCATACAGACAACCTATGATTGTAACTTAAGCGTCCTTAGATCATTTTTAGATCTGTGCTTCAGAATTTCTATTCAAGACTTCTGTGTTGCTTAGTGGAAAAAGCCAGTTGCAGAAGAAATTTATCTATATTGAGTAATATAGCCATGGTTCAATAAGCTCTTCAACCTCTAAGGCTCATTAAAAAGTACATAAGAAAATTAAATGGAGGTGGCACAAGAAGGAAATTATGCGCCTTCAAACTCTGCCTTCTCTGAAACTTCTGGGGTAGTGGAATATAGGCATTGATGGTGGTGGTGTTTACCCTGGTGTATACAGTTGTCAAAACGTATCAAACTGTACATTTAAAATGGATGCATTCTGTTGAAGGTAAATGATACCTCAATGAAGTTGCTTAAAGAAAAGGAAAAAACAGCTGTTTTATAGGCTGGTATCTGGACAACAAAGGATGTCAGATGACCTGAGTTTTTGTCTCAGATATAAACCTTTCTTACTTTAGGGAAACCTTGAAACCTCTATTTCTACCTTGTTTTTGGAAAGTAAGATTAAAACACATTGACTCCCACATTAGAAAAAAATTTTTTTTCCCTGGGGCCATGGTATTTTATTATGAAAATAGAATAAAAACTTTGAAAACAAAATAATTCTAATTTAATGAAAAATGAAATATATTGACTTCTCTTCATTTAATCCACATTTTTAGAATTAATTTGTCAATATTAATTGTAACAGTAAGAACATCAACAAGTAAGATTTTCAGAAACCAACTGCAGGGTTTTGCCCAGGTTTTGCTTCACGAGGCGCTGGGCTCCAAACTAGTGTGAGTTACTAAATAAATACAACTCACATGGCAGTTAATGTGTTAAATTATTACTCCTTGTAGTTTCCACCCTGCAGGAAGATAAAGTAACCCAGTGCAAGTGATTCTTGACTTTTTGAGGCTCAGTTGCTTAGAGAAGCTGACGAAAGCTACAAAATTTTTCCCTAGAAAAATATACATAGAGAAGGTGCACACCATTTCAGGGGCTTCCCAGCCCCCGCTGCCCCACATTCATCCGTGAAACTCCAGTGAAGAATTCTTGCCTTCGTGTTTTGCAGTGAAAGTCCTGTGAACCCAGAGTGGTAGGTGAGAAAAAGGTAGCATCTTTTTGGCGCCTACGTGCTAGGCAATGGGAATACACTGCCGTGCAAAGAAAGCTTCCTTCCTTTGAGGAACTCTTGGTAACCGAAGTTTAGATGCTTAGTCACAGTTGAAGATCATATGCTTGTGGATGCCAGACATTATTTGTTAATGATCAAATTAAGTACTGCACTAGCTTTGTCGTTATTAGTTCAATAGTTTATCTGGGAATTTATCACTTGCAATTTTTGTTGCCTAAATGATGGTAACACCTGGGATGAAAGTAGTTGTTTACAGTTTTCATTCTATCTCCTTCCTTCCCTCTCTCCCCCCTCCATCTTTCTCTCCCACTCTCCACCTCATTTTTCCTGTCTCCTCTTCCTCTTTTTTCCTTTTTAGCTCTCTCTGTTCTTTCTTCCTTCAGTCCCCCCTCGATCTCCGCCCTCTCTCTCCCTTCTTTTTCTTAAGCACTCTATTTCTCCATTGTCATCCTTTCGATGTTCCTATCTAGGTGAATAGTTAATATATAGGGAAAACTCTCTATTCACTCAGCCTGGATTAGAATTATGCCTTCTTTTGCATTGCTATCATGAAATTCCTCCCGAGGTGTATCATACTAGCTGTGTTTCATTTTCATTGGCTTAGAAGTGCAGGATCTTCTGGGGCCTGAAATCCCCAAGGGGCTATCAATGTTGCCAAGTTTGCTCCAGTTGCTCCTGGTTTACCTGGAACAAAGAAAGAATGTAGCTGTGATTACTGCCTCAGTTTGCTCTTCTTCTTTCCCTTCTGTTTGCTTAGTAACTCTTTAGAACGCTTAATGACCTTTCATGTTGACCATTATGGCAAGAATGAATGCTGCAGTCCCCCCGAGGAGGAAAGTCCTGGATCCTGCCTCCCAGAGGGGCTCCCATCAAGCAAGGCTGAGCTCAAGAACCCACACTGGGTGCCCTAGGATGACTTTAAATGGTCCCAGTGATAAGAAGTGTTTATTGATGAACAGAAAATGTATTTTTCTTCCTTCTGAATTGGGAATGGATGGGCCGTTACATCTTGCCGTTACATCTCAGTGAGAACTTTTCTCCAAATAGGCTCAGTGCAGATGACGTTGAGCTGTATAGCATACCTGAATTTCACCATGTGGTATAATTAATAGTGATTCAACCATCGACCCTCCTAATTGGTTTCTCCCATCTTTTCACAGAACCATGATGGCAGTATTGACTTCCGAGAGTATGTGATCGGCCTAGCCGTCTTGTGCTACCCCGCCAACACAGAGGAGATCATCCAGGTGGCATTTAAGGTACTGTCAGCCCCACTGAAAGCATCTTGGTCTGCCTCATAAACAAGTGTTGACTCTAAGTGTATTATCTGAAAATCAGTGAATCTATTACATGAGTTTATAGATCTGCTGTGACATGTACAGGAGAATAATGTGATTAAGTCAATTGCTACTGAGAATAAAGAAAACACAAGCATTCATTTAAGCAAAAAGTCTTTGGAAGCAGCCTAGTTAACAGCATCAAGATTGAAGAGCGGGTAATTTAACAAATTAACTTAAAAAATTATTTCTTTTCAGCCTTCCCATTTTGAAGCCCCAAAGGGAGGTTTATAAATAAACACTACCTGTCACTAGTCATCCTAATTCACTATCTGGAAAGTTCTGATCTATCCTTTTTTTCTCATTCTGTATGTCAGAGATATTTTAAGTGGTATTTTCGTGATGGAATTTATTTTGTCATTGTGGTATCAGGTGAACACCGTCATAAATTCCCCAAGTTCCTACCCCATATGTCTTCCTATAGTATCACATATATTTTCACAGCAATAACAGGGATCTAAATTGGGAGCAGATGAATAAAATCCATGTCCCTGGTCTCCACAGAGCTTGATGAAAGCTTGAATTGTGAAGACCCATATTCCATTTACCACTTACAAGTGCAAAAGAAAAATATATTTCCAAAGTGTGTTTTCAGTTCTGAGAGTAAAGGTGCTTCATCTAATTAGTGTTTAAATATGATATTCCCTTTGAGTTCTATGCTTATATGGTCAACTCTCAAGTAAAACAGAAACTAGATTTCCTACTTGGCTTACGAAGCTGTGTATATTGACTCCTGTTGTGCAGACATTTATCTGGTCTCTTTGCATCTGTCCAGCAGGAGAGCTGAGGACCTTCTCTGTTCCTGTTTCCTTCTCTTGTCTCTTCCTGACTTCGTCGGAGAAGAATATCCCACTGTGACTCCAAGTTTTTTTTCACTTTTATTATCTGGAAAAACTCTTTTCCTCCAAGAGTTCTTTTTCACGTCTTAGAGGCCACCAGGGGTAGTCTGAGGAATTTCCATGTGCTCTGTCATTGACAGAAGAGCCCTGAGTTTACTTTTTATTTCAGATTGGTTTAATCTGGGTTAACTGCCAGGCTCAAGAACCTCAGTGGTTGATGCTTAGCAGATGCTTATAAGGCAAGGGCCAGACTTTTTCCAAAGTTAAAAAACCTTTAGCTTTTACAGACTTACTCATCATAAAACCTAAAATTACACACATAGCTAACTTATTCCAATCTAGATATTTCTGTTTCTGTTTTGGGATTGTATGTATAATTAGAAGTTTAGTTGGGCAAATGGTCACTTTTGGTTTACCAATGAAAGACTTGATAGAAAATTTGGCCCTTAATCACAGTAATTATTGTTTTTAAAGAAGTCATGAGATTTTCATCTAGCCTAGACCTTGGTTTGGTTGAGGGTAAGGAAGAAGGAAGGAAGGAGGACTCAACAATGTAATTAGCTTCTTTTCCAGTAAGGCAAAGTTGGTTATTTTTTAACCTTCCTTTTCAGATGTGTTTTATGTTTTGGAAATATTTTTGCATAGTTTTATTTTTCATTTAGTGGTATCCTTTTACATATAGCATCCTTTAACATCCTTTTATTTGGGTAGCACTTCATAGTTAACGTCTCATCTTTTATCTCATTTCACTTCACAGTGACCATTAGAGTTAGAATACTAGTCGGGATTCTTCAGTTGCAAGCCATAGGATAGACTCTGGCTGAGGGGTGTCAAAATGGAATTAGTTGAAAGGGCAGGGAGTAGACTCAAGGGAAAACTCAGAACCAGGCAGCTCCAGAGGTCCAGGTTGCAGGAACTACCCTACACCCTGCCTTGGGCACTGCACTTAAAATGAGCAAACTCCAACCCTGTTCTTCATCCACATTCCACGGAATGTGAATCCAAATGGTCGTGGGCCATATGCTTGATAGGAGAAACAGGATGTTTTGATTAAGAGTCCCACAGTATTCTATGCAATGGGGAGATGTCATTCCCCCAGAGGAAACTGGGCTATTAAACTTTTGACCAGGTAAACCCCAGATCATGGGGTTTACCTTAGATCTGGAAACTTTGTAGCAGGGAGTGATGAGTAGGTGAGGGAAATGGAGGGGGGAGGTGAGTGATCTGGGATAGTTGTGGCAAAGGACAAATGTAGAGGAAGTAGAAGTCTCCAGTATGGACCACATGAAGGGAGCTTACACCGAAGTGAGGGCCATTAAAGCAGCAAATCTGGCAAGAACTTAGACCGTTAAGATGAGTCGGTGGGAATTGTTTAGGAATGGAAGACCTTTGAGGAAAGTTTAGAGCCTGTCAGGAGAGAGCTGTGACTGAGTCCTGGCAGTTACTGTTTAAATTCCAAGGTGCAGAAAGAGCCCAGGATCTAAAGCTTGTGGAAACAGATGCTAATTTACTTTTCACTTTCCAGCTGTCTTATTCCCCAGTTAGGGGCTGGGTGGTAGGAAATAGACTAGGAGCCAGTGCTTTCTCAGTTGAGGGCAACAAATCCCAACCTCAAGTTATATTTTTTTTTTTACTCCTCCCTCATGGACAATTAAAACACTATCATATTTGCATATTATTCTTTTCATGATTATCACACCTCATCTCATACCTGTTTTTCTCTGTTTGTCATCTTGTATTTGGTCCGTAGAGACCTCAACAGTAGGAACCCTCGATATTATCCACCTGAATTTGGAAGCCAGATCTACCACCTGCAAGTTGTGTGACCTTAGGGAAGATATTTAACATCCTCGTGCCTCAGTTTTCTCATCTGTAATATAGGGTTGGCGGTGGCACCTGTCTGACATAACACTGTTGTGAGGGTTAAGTGAGTTAATACGTGTAAGGTGATTTGAACACTTTTGATCAGTGCCTGTAAAGAGTCAGTGCTCATATTATTAAATATTCTTGAGACCCAGAGAGGATTTTGATTATGTGATATTCATTATCTGTCACTTATTCCTATTGTGCTACTTGACTTTCAGTCTACCCCTCTCTACTGCCTATAAACATGTCCGGTCTCTCCTGTCCTAAAGACAACCTCCTTTTGTGCTTGGCCACTACCCTTTATGCCATAATTTCTTAAAAGAAGAGTCCGTACCTCTTGCCCTCACTTTTCACTTCTGTTCATCCCTTGATTCCCATTACCATCTGGCTTCTAGGTCCCTTTCTACGGCATTTTACTATCGGCGGTTACACTGTCAGAATCTCTTCCTCGTTCCTGAAAACCCTCCCTTACCTTCCAAGATGCATGCTTTCTTTCCCGTCCTCCTGTCTGACTGCTTCTTCTCAGTCTTCTCTGTCAGTTCCCCACTCACACCTCGACTATTGCTGTTCCCAGGCCTTTGCTCTACTTTGTATAATGCATTCCTCTACAGATAAGCTCAGACACACCCATAGTTTTAGTTCTTACCGGAATTCATATCTCAAGCCTCATCAGTCTCCTAACTGATATGCTGAATCTCTTACTTAATCTTGGCATCTCTAACTCAGATGTATCCTATCCAGCCCCAACTCTCCATCTCATTTGGCACTTACTTTTTTGACTGTTTTCCCACTGTTGATTAATGTAACCAGCTTTCACCCAGTTGCCCAAGCAAGGAAACCTCAGCCATCCCTGGCTCCTTCCTTTTCCTCACTACAGACCTCTCATTGGTATGCAAGTCCTGTCTTTGCTTTCTTTTTTTTTTAATGAATTCTGCCCCTCCCTATCCTTCCTACGTCTCTACCCCATACTCTTACTTGGTTTTCCTGCCTCTGATCTTATCAACCTCCTGCCCCCGATCCAGCCTCCACGCCCTGCCTCAAAGGTTCTCTCAGTTCACCTATGTTCACATTACGTAGCCTCCCAGTATAATCCTACAGGATCAGGTGAGGAGCTCTAGATCCACCATGATCTGGTTCCTGCTTGTCTCTGTCTTATAACTAGAGCACCAGGTGATCACCTGCCATTCCTTATATAGTCTGGGAACATCTCTTCATCTTCTAAGACCCAAGTCAAATGTCAACTCCTGGAAAGCCTTCTCTGAGCTCTCTGGGTAGGATTCATCATGCTCCCCAAAGAACTTCCATGTCCCTTCATGCTATAATATTTACTATCCTTATAGCCCCTACTTCAATTCTGTCTCTTTCCACCACCCAACTAGAAGTGTTGTGAGAGTAGCGGAAACCATATTCTCTTCATATACATACATATTCCTAGCCCCTGGCACAATGAATGTTTGAATTATTAAAGATTTTATTTTCTAAGATTATTTCACATCACTATTGCTCTGGAGGAGCTAATTCTTATATTTTATTTTCTTTTTCTTTCAGCTCTTTGATGTTGATGAGGATGGCTACATAACCGAGGAAGAATTTTCCACCATTCTGCAGGCTTCCCTTGGAGTGCCTGACCTTGATGTTTCTGGTCTCTTCAAGGAAATAGCCCAAGGGGACTCTATTTCCTATGGTGAGTAGGCAATTTGGCCTCCTGATTCAGTTTACAAGGAGGACATCCAGACTATGGATTGATGCTTGAGCGTGTTGTAACCCTTAATTATATTAATAATAGTAATAATGATGATGACAGTAATAATAATAGTGATAGTGGTGTAATTATAATAGTAGTATCTAATTATTGAGGACTTATGCTAGGCATTCTTCTATATATTTTATATATTAACCCATTTAATCTTTGTAGCATGCCTATTTAATCGGTATTCATTTCTTTTTTTTCTTTTTTTGGTAGAGACGGGGGTCTTGCTACAGTGTACAGGCTGGTCTCAAACTCTTGGCCTCGAGCGATCCTCCCACCTAGACCTCCCAAAGTGCTAGGATTATAGGCATGAGCCACTGCACCCAGCCTAATCAGTATCCTTAATTATTCTTATTTTACTAAGATACAAAGAATTTAAGTAATTTATCTAAGAGCATCCAGCTAAGAAGTTTCAGAGCCTGGATTCAAAAACCAAGACAGTCTGGCTTTACAGGCTGCACCCTTGACTCTGTATCTTGGTGCCTCTCATATCTGTGGCCCCTCCTCATAGGGCTTTTCCTTTCTTTTGTCAGCATGGCCATGCAAAACTGAGCAAGTTAGCTCAGTTTTATGTAACTACCATAGAGAAATATGGACTGAGATACCAACGATAATTATAGTAGCTAACACATTTATTGACGTTTATAGTTAGCAGCTTAGGTAAGCTTCCGTATCCATTGTCTCATGCCATCTTGATAGCAACCCCTGTGAGTCGGGGACTATCGTGGAGAAAGACCTGGTGGCAAAGCGGCAGGTCCATCCATCAGTGACCATCCTTCCTCCTGATGGTTCAAGGCCACACATCAAAACAAGTCGCACAGGGCTGCAGGAGGGTACGCGAGTTTCCACGTATTTCAAAGTTCAGTCGTTGAGAAACACACCTCAGTGGAGAGGCTTAGATGATTGTTTCCCTGCCTTGGGTTTGATGTGGTCATGGGTGTCAGGCTGGCTTATCTTTCCCAGTCTTTCCTCCCAAGCTGGAGGGGTATTCCTCTTTAATTACTTTTCCCTGATGGTGTTCAGAGACTTTCATGGGGTACGGAAAGTAGATCACATACTTCTTCTCTTACTCTCTGTTTTTAATTACTGTCATTTGGGCTGCCCTGTGTTTTATTTTAGGTAATTAAATGCCTAGGGCACTTAATCTATTAAGTTCATTTAAAAAAATAGAAAGGATAACATGGGAAAAGTATATAGGCTGAGATAAAACTTATGAGTCATAAAGCCATGTGTGCTAATTCTTCTCTGACCATTTGCCTTCCAGTAAGTAAGATATTACTCTGAACTACCAAATTTCATAAAATTATTGGGATAACTATTTCAATGGAAGCTAATACTAAAAATGATTTTTAAGTAGCCATAATTTTACCTGTCAATTTAAATAATTTTTTAGGGAAATCTTTATTTTTTGAAGTTTAACCTCTTTATTTTCGGAATTCATAGAATCTCTCCCTTTCCCCAATATTATGTAAGTCTGCTTCTTTTACAGGAATGTTTGAGGTATTTAAGTATAATTCTACTAAAACAAAAAAAATAGGTATTGACATGCATCATGAATGTGACCATTTAAATTGGTTAAATGCGATCCTTTAAATTGTTTTCATTCCTGGTTTCCCATTAGCCAAAGTAATGCTCAAATTCCACTTAGAGACAATCATAGCAATTCTAGAAAGGAGTTACTCTTCAAAGCCATTGACATTCCAACAGAGGATCTTGATCTTTTGAACAGAGCACAAGTCTCGAAATTACTGTTCTTGGTTTTAGTAGATCAACTGTCGCGCTCACTTAATCTTAGAAGTCACTCGAGTCCTCTGTGTCTTCATCATTGAAATAGACTCATGCAAATGAACCTTTGTTTTGGATGTTAAGAAAGAACAATTAATAGCTTGCCTGATTTGGAAATATAAAGTGGTCTATTAATGCAAAATAATGTTGCAATTGCAAAGAATAGTTTGGGCTCAATCTGGTGACTTCCTCATCACTAAGACCTATTTTTATCTTCCAGAGTTATTAGGTAGTCTAATGTGTCGTGAAGAAGACTCTTGGTTATCAGAGGATTTTTGAAAAGTAAATGGATAGAAATAGGATATTGAGTGAAAATCCTTCTGTGATTAAAGCCAAAAAGCAAGCTGATGCAAAGACCAGGTTCCCTCCATTGTAATAAGCTCAATAATGTTTCTCTACCCCAAAAGCAGAGGGTAGAGAAACTTCAAAATTGAGGGCAGTATCATGTTTCAGGAATTCCAGGTTATTGGACTGTTGAGATTCAAATCCTGGTAGTTAACTTAGTAAAAGCCTTCATGTACATATCCCTGAAATCTGCCTCTATCTCAGTTCCTAAATCTAAAACACTTGAGATAAAAAGAAGTCCTCTACTCAGAGATCTTACAATGTGATTATTATACATTGTACAATTTCCTAGCCATTATTGATTACAAGTCAGGGCTCAGCTTTTTGCAATAACTGCATTTTTCAGTAACAGTTAAGGGCTAAAGTAGTTTTAAAAGCCAGTCATTGAAAGTCCTGGGTAATAGAATTTTTTACAACAAAAATACAAAAAACTGAAGAAAACATAAATACAGAGCACAATGAAGTTTTATAAAGTGAACACCTGTGTTACTACCGAGAAATAGAGCTTTTCCAGAACGCCGGAAACCCCTGCGTGCCCTTTCCCAACCACAGCCCCTCCCTCTCTCTTAAAGGAGGGGACTGCTATCTTGACTTAGCAAGGAATCTCTGCCTTGCTTTCCTTAGCATTTTACCACAAATGTACGCATCTTTAAATGTTATATTTTAGTTTTGTCTAAGTTTTTGAACTTTATAGAAATGGATTGATACAATATGTGTTCTTTTGTATCTGGCTTTTTCCATTCGACCTATGGCTTTAAGATCCATCCGCATTGTTACTTCATTTTCATTGCTATATAGCATCATGTTCCATGAATATGCCACGTTTTAGTTATCCATCTCTACTGTTGATACACATTTGAGTTGTTTTCGTTTTTAACCTTTTATGAGTAATGTTGCTGTGAACATTCTCATACTTGTCTCTCAGAACACGGTATGCACAAATTTCTCTAGGTTATATACCTCGGAATAAGATGAATGGGTCATAGAGTATACACATCTTCAACTTGACTAGATAAAGGAAAAACTACCTTCCAAAGTGGTTGTACAATTTATATTTCCATCAGCAATTTTATGAGTAACAGAATTTTGTAATAACTGTGTTATTAGGGTCTTTCGTTAATCTGCATCATGCCAAAAGAAGATTCACCCCAATTTATTGGATTTTTTTCCTCCTTTTCTAGAGGAATTTCAAAGATTTGCCCTCAAGCATCCAGAGTATGCTAAGATATTTACAACATACTTAGACCTTCAGACCTGCCATGTGTTCTCACTCCCAAAAGAAGTCCAGA